ATGAGTGGCAGGATCTGACACACCTCTCCGTCTTGCAGACAGGAAATATGCTGCAAGGATGGGCTCAGGTTTCATTCAAACACTGTTAATGCTTTAGTGTAAACCCACGAACAAAGAGAAAATCAAATTTTTAACATGTGAACACAAACGTGTTGTTTTTGAAACTGGCACCAAATATTAGCCTACATAAGCCTCAGAGAATGGTGTAATGCAAAAGCTTTCTCCTGATCAGCACTGTCAATCCCAGGCAAATCTCTCCCATCCCACATGAGCCACACTAATCAAAGCACAGCAATGTCGGGAGAGCCCATGTGAGTGACAGTATTTCAGAATTTTTAAGCCTCTCATTATTCCAAATGCACGGGTAAACATGCAAATTACCCTTTCCAGGATGTAATGGAATATGCAATTCTATTAAGAACCCTTCCAAGGAGCGCTCCCTACCCCCACTTTTTTTTTTTTTAACAAAAGTAAACACAAGAGTCCAAGTCTCCCACGAGATTTCCAACACTGTCTCCACAGCGCCCTTCCATCACAAGCCCCTGTATTCTACATGCTGGGGAAACCTCTGCATGCAAGCAACAGCTGACATTTTCCAACACTGCTGAGTTGGTTTTGCCTGTGAATCATGCTATTCTTAGGTCAACAGGAGGAAAATCACGCCGCCAAGTTTCCTGAATGTAAACAAAGACCCTGTCTGGCAAAGAGCAAAGATGGATCAGAACAGCTAGGGACTGTAGAGACTTCTCATTGTAATTTCCTTTCAGCATTATTAGAAAATAATAGCCTGAGAGCATGAGGGCAGAAATATACACCCTCATCATGTCTTCCTCTTCAGACTGGTTCTCATGGTAAAGAAATGATATCCAAGCCAGTCTCCCTTTGGTATTTAAACAATAAGATACATCCAGCCCTTGGGCATGCTTCCTCCTAAAGTTGTGTTTAGCTTGAATGGTAATAGCATGCCACAAAACCCCATAAAATCTATTTTATCATCAAACACATAAGCTATGGTCCTAAATGTTTCTGTTCAGTTCGGCCTGAGCAACACAACTCCAAAATTTGTCAGCTGGTGGGTGACTAGTCTATGTGGGATTGTGGCCAGAAAACAAAACTCACAGACCTCAAACAGACTGTTCAGCTCACTTTGGATACTTAAAATAGGAGGAATCAAAAAACATTTGAAAATAAAAGTTCAATAGAATTATGCAATTCAAAAACCAAACCCACTGACCTGCACCTTCTTTAGGTATCTAAGAAATTTGTATTAAACAAAGCAACAATAATAATTTAATTATACCCTTACAATTAAATTATGTACCTACAGGATATATCAAGTAGGAAAATTTGTCATTGTTACTGGATTTTTTTTATTGTGAAAATACTGTACAGAGGGGTTACAATTACATGGGCAAGATAATGAGTACATTTCTTATCAAGCATTGTAGCCTCCTCCTTTGTTTCCCCTTCCTATACCATCCTCTCCCTGCCCTCCCACCCAATCCTCCCCCCCACCATCACCAAAGTTGTAAAGTTCGTTTTCGATATAACGTCTTGTACATCTCATTGTTGCAATGGGTCCACCTGTATCCCTATTTAAACGTTTTGTTTTTCCCCTTCCCCTCCACAAATTATACCGACATCAAATACAGTGAAAGCAGGGCTTATACTGTGGATTTTTAAAAGGATGAGACCAAAGAGTATAGCTTGAAGCTGAGTTGGGTGGTTCAAACTTTAATCCTGTGTCCTTTGTCTCATCATTTTGTTATTCTCCTTCCCTTCCCCAAATCAGATAAACATATATACAAGACTAGGGTACCCAAATCAAAAACAGTGACAACCGAGGATAAACCAAAGGGATAAAAATGAATGAAAAAAATAACTTCACACAGTACATTAAAAAACAAAACAAAGCAAAAAAACCTCTTGTTTCCATACCTTGGAATTCATTTCAATTAGCATCTTTTTATATGGCCACATGTACTTAGCTATTGAGCTATTGTGATCCTCTGCTAGGACTATTCTAGACATATACTAATAATTACAAATGAGGGAAACCACGGAGCCTATGTTTCTTTGAGTCTGCCTTACTTCACTTAATATGATTTTCTCCAAGTCTTTCCATTTCCTTATGAATGGGGCTATATCATTCTTTCTGATGGAAGCATAGAATTCCATTGTGTATATATACCACATTTTCTTGATCCATTCATCTACTGAGGGGCATCTGGGTTGGTTCCAATGCAACAGCGATCCTCACAAAATACTATATTGGAAATGAACTTTACAACTTTGGGGGAGGAGAGTCGAGGATAAGGGAAAGTGGGAGATCATACTGTGCCCATTTTTAAAAAATTCATTCCTCCTGAATTTATCTGAAAGAGCTTTTTATACACAAAGAACATTAATTCTTCTCTCCCTCTCTCCCTCCCTCTCTCCCTCCTTCCCTCCCTCCCTCCCTCCTTCCCTCTCTCCATCCTTCTCTCTCTCTCTCTCTGTATGTGTATACTGAGGCTTGAACTCAGGGCCTGAATGCTGTCCCTGAGCTTTTTGCTCAAGGCTGTCCTACCACTTGAACCACATCTCCACTTCCTGCTTTCTGGTGGTTTGGAGATAAGAGTCACTCAGACTGGCTTCAAAGCTCGTTGGACTAGCTTTCAACAGGGATCTTCAGATCTCAGCTTCCAAGTAGCTAGGATAACAGGCATGAGCTTATCTACTTTTCATGGTCACAATAGATGCAATTTTTTTTGGGGGGGGGTCCTTTCGTGGGGCCTGAACTCTGGGCCTGGGCGCTGTCCCTCAGTGCCACTTCCAGCTTTTTTTCTTTTTGCTTATGTGGTGCTGGGGAATCAAATCCAGGGCCTCATGCATGCAAGCCAAGCGCTCTACCACTGAGCCACCTTCCCAGCCCCTAGATGCAATTTTTAACTAACATCAAAGCTCGATGAAAATTTTAATTAAAAATATAGCATAATAAAATTACTTCTCCAAATCCCACTTTAGATTTTTTTTTTTTTAGTAAAATAAAGAGCATGCTCTACAGATCCTTACAGAAAGTCGTTTTAGTTCCTTTTGGATTAATTTTTTAAAGTAATTTTTAAAATTACTGATCACTAGGGAAAGCACTTACATAGAGGTCTATTGTTAACTTCTAGAAACACTTCAGAAAGATAGGTTTAACATTTATTGAGACTTGGATATTTATGTGTCATTAGCAAGGTTTAAAAGAAGTTTATCTCCAAACCTTAAAAACTTCAGTTTGACATGTTTGTTTATCTGGCTATTTATTATTATTATTATTTTGTTGTTGTTGTTGGTCATGGGGCCTGAACTCTGGGCTTGTGCACTGTCCCTCAGCTATCCAGCTCAAGGCTAGCATTCTACCACTTGAGCAACAGAACCACTTCCAGCTTTTTCTGCTTATGTGGTGCCAAGGAATCGAACCCAGGGCCTCATGCATGCAAGGCAAGCACTTTTCCACTGAACCACCTTCCCAGCCCATATCTGGCTATTTATTCTGTATCACCACATTTGAAATTAGTATTAGTTACACTTCTTAGTGATAATTAGTTCTTAGTGATAATTTCATGTATGTCTTCTTCACTTACGAACTGTTTTATTACTGTATGGGATCAAATTAACCAGTAAAACGTCGGTACTTATTCCTATTCCTTCTATTTTACACTACCTCCCACTGGGAAACACTTGGCATTATCTAGTATATTGGATTAATTTTATTGTCAATTTGACTGGCTTAAGAAATGCCTAGGAGATTGGTGAGTATAACTGTGGATGGTGTCTATTAGAGCCCATTACATTCTGAGGGCTCTGACCTAAGGAGGGATCATTCTTGCTGGATCCACAATGTGGTAGTATTTGGAGAAGCTGTGAAAAGTAGGAGGTAGAGTTTATTTGGAAGAAGTAGGACACTGGAGGGGCAGTCAGGTGGGGGAGGGATGTTCTTTGGAGGCTATGTCTTGCCCTGGTGCCTTTCTGTTCCCCTTTCCCCCTCTTTCTGGTTGCCATGCAGTGAAATGCTCTGCTCTCCACCACAACAGAAGAACCCTCTGAATCCATAGAGCAAAGAAAATTGTTTTTTTTCTCAGGCATATGGACGGTAATAAAAAAGCTTAACAAATACAACTCTGGACTTCTCCCACCTCCACAACTGAGGGATGCTACTGGAATCTAGGATGTAGATGAAAAGAATGTTGATCAGTATTCCAAAATGCACAACAGGGAGTCTAAACACAAACTTATCTTGGTTGCAAAGGTCACTGGTATTGAAGTTCAGCACCTTCTCTGGGCCCCTGCTAAGCTCAAACCAAATGATCAAATGATTAAACAAAGGGAGGGAGAGAGAGAGGGAAAAGGAAAGGGAGAGAGAGAAAGAGAAAGAGAGAAAGAGAGAGAGAGGGAGGGAGGGAGGGAGGAAGAGAGGAATAGAGGGAGAAGGAGAGGCAACACAAACTTAAATAGACCAATTTTAGTCTTGTGGAACTAGGGAAATTTCAGTCAGATTTACATTTCACATGAGACTGTGGTATTTCACATGATGCTTAATTTGCTGACTCTAAACTGAAAGCCCAGAGGATCATTAACACCTTCCATGTAACATACTAGAATTTGATTTTGCAATGTCTTACTTATCAACTTGGCATTTTGACATGGCCTCACATATGAGACTTCCAGGTGGATAGAAAGTCACTCCAGGAGGCTCAGGAATCCTGTATCAAGCAGCAGGACTGAGAGAGGAAATGCTGGCTACATTGGCCAACAGGGTGGAAGTGGGAGCTCAGGAACTTGGGTGAGAAATAACTGGATCAATCTAGTTTGGAAATAATAAGTGACATCATTAGAGACAGCTACCTCAGATTCACCTGTCACAGGAGAGCTGGGCAGGAGCTGTTTTAAACACTGAAACTCTAAATGCTGAAGGGAATATATTCAAGTGGCTTATGGGCCACAATACTCCAGACAGAACAAACAGGTCTTACCAGAGGCATTGATGGTGGAGGAGGGGGAGGAGCCCCAGCAGGTGGGGGAGGAGCCCCAACAGGTGGGGGAGGGGGAGGCAGAGGAGGTGGTGGGGGTGGCGGTGGGGGTGGTGGCACCGGCATATGTCACAGCGTTGATGTCTCTTGCTTATGAATGGTCCCAATAGAGAGAATTTCTGCTCTGAAAAAGACAAAAGAGATAGTTTTATTTAATTACTTAATAGATTTATTCATTAATTTATTATTTGTGCCAGTATGGTCTTGAAGTCAGGGCCTGAGCACTGTCCCTTAACTTTTTTGTTCAAGGTTGGTGCTCTGCCACTTGAACCACACACAGTTCCACTTCTGGCTTTTTGGTGGTTAGTTGGCGATAAGAGTCTCATGGACTTCCTGCTTGGTCTGGCTTCAAACCATGATATTCAGATCTCATCCTCCTGAGTAGCTAGGATTGCAAGAATGAGCCACCTGGCAAAGAGGTATAATTAAATCTCCTACTTACCTTCTGGTATTACATGTCTTAGAGAAACACACATACTGTAGACAGTTTTATTCCATTGTTAGTTCATTCACAGAGTTCTCACTGTGAAGCTGGCTAAGTGCTAGAGATTGATAAAAGTAGATAGACTCTAGAAATTACTTAGTGATAAAATTTAAAGAATTTAGCTGTCAGAACATATAATATATATATATATATATATATATTATATATATATATATATAAAACATATATATGCACCTGTTTCCCCCCAATAACTGAATCCTATATTATTAACATTGAAATCATTTCATTGTATTCCTGAGCAGACAATGGAATTTAATCTTTCTGAATGTCACAGGTTTCATGTTATGCATGATGCCAGCCTCAAGCAAGGCTTACAAAGGGCATTAGCCACTTTCTTGATTCCTTTTCTCCTGTCAGCTGTTTCTTTATGGTCTCATGTCTTAGTTTCTGCATACTCATCTGGATGCATGCTGGGTTTTTGAGGCATGGTTCTTTAATACAGTTCTTTTCAAATTAATACTGGAGGATGTCTGATTTCCAAATAACTGCATTTCTTTGCAGGGCATATCTGTGTATGTGTTCTGATGTGTGCTACAGACCTCTTTTCAAGACACATTGCAAGGACTGCCAGCCTGTACTAATGAAACCAAACAATTTGCAAATGTGAGGCAAAGTGATATGATAACCTAAAGACAACCTAAGTACAAACTGAAGCATCAAACTTAGGCACAGACACTTTATGTTCCTGCCAGCATGGTAGTCCCTGGATCCCAACACAGGTCTGTCCATTTTTCCTTCATATTTAACATCCAATGGCAGTTGTATTTCATGAAAACATCCTTATCTCTGCAAAGGCAGAAAACCAATTATATAACACAGTGCTTCAACATAGTCCTCTAGATTTTTTGATTATTTAATAAATCAGATTCTTTTACCTACATAGTTAGTTCTATGTACCAGGCTAATTGCATCAATTTCCATAGTAATCCCCTAAGGCCAATAGCAGGAACCCCCACTTTTGTAGACAAGAAAAGGTTGTTTAAAGTCATATACACACTTAACAATGAATTAATTTGGGATTAGAACTCAGACTTAAAGATTTAAAATCTGATATGATTTTGTGTTGTTGTGTTATCTAATGTGTTATTGTGGCAAGATATAAAATAATATGATATTTTTTACCTTAATTGTCAAGTATATCATTCAGGGGCATTAAGGGCATTCTAAGGCTGTGCAATTCTGACCAGAACTTATTCATCATCCTAAACAGAACCTCCATATCCATAAAACTATCATTTCCTCATTCTCACCCCTGGGCACTTTGATTCTACTTTCTGTATGCATAAGCTTATCTACTAGATAATTCACTTAGGTGGAAACATGCAATATTTGTTGGCTTCAACCTGGCTTATTTCATACCACACACTATTGTCTATGTTCATTCCTGTTGTAGTATATATAACAGAAATTCATTTCTAACTATTCCACTCCACATTTTGCTTGATTATTAATAAGCTGATGGAACCTGGATTGTTCCCTTGTTTTGGGGATTGTGAAAAATTCTATGACCACTGGTATACAAAAACATCTCTAAAACCTTGAATTCAATTCTTGTGGCCTCTGTCTGTCTGTCTGTCTATCTATCTATCTGCATAGTGCTGTTGGATCACATGGCATTAACCTCATTTTTTTTTAATCAGTCGTAGGGCTTGAACTCTGGGTCTGGGCGCTGTCCCTCAGCTCTTCAGCTCAAGGCTAACGTTTTACCACTTGTGCCACAGTGCCACTTCCGTTTTTCTGGTGGTTTATTGGAGATAAGAATCTCATGCACTTTACTGCCCCAGCTGGCTTTGAACCGCGATCCTCAGTCCTGAGTAGCTAGGATTACAGGTATAAGTCACCAGCGCCTGTCAATATTAACCTCATTTTAACAAGGTTGAGAATTCTCTAAAATTGCATAGTTATAAATGGTATAATATATACAATTAAGTGCAACGTTTAGGGGAAAAACATTTGTGAGACTTTCCCTAGAAATTCCAAGGAAGAATGTGAGCAGGTCAATAAAAATGATCATACTTTTTAAACATAAAATACTCCCCTGAAAGAAGAGACCTGATAATCACAGTTGTACTTCTTTTCTTGATATTAAAACACTATCAAAAGACTTAAAAATACTCATCATGGTCAACAGGATAAAAAAAAATGTTAAAACGAACGTAGATCTCAGAGAACAATAAAGGGTAGTATAGGAACCCAAACAGAGTCCAAGTCCCTTTATTCACTATCTAATATAAACAATATCACAGAGTCACATACAGCTAGCATATTATAGGCCTAATGTTAAAGCAACTTGAACTGGAGCCAACAACTTAACTGTTTATCAGCTGTATTTTGACAGTATATAATCTTGTATTCAGTAGCAAAAGTATTTCTAGTCAAAAACTTACAAAAGGTATAAGTCTTGATGGAACTATTAATAGAACAAGAGAATATTGGGAAATCTCATTATGTAAAGGCTTAATTTTTTAAGTAAGACAGACGAGGAGATAGACAAGCATTCCCTGGTGAAAAACTGAAATTGATTTAAAAGGAAAACCTAAAAACATACTTATATTCAAGAGTTTAGCCATTTACTTCAGGGAAAAAATGCCTGAAAGAAATAACGGTAAGGACTGTGACAGAGCTACCCATGGTCTCTCTCAGTACATTGTATGATTCCATTTTCTAACTGCCTTTGTAAGTAGGTGTAACCATGTAGCTGACATTCATGTTTCAAAAAAGTCTATTATGTTAAACAATGAAGATTTTGAAACTAATTTATTATACTTACTAATATTTATATTTTGTTCATGAATTTTTGTGCTGGTACTGGACTTCATGTCCTTACTTGGCTTTTTTGCTCATGGTTGCCATTTTACCATTTCAGTTACACCTCCACTTCCAGCTTTTTACTAGTCAATTGGAGGCAACAGTCTCATAGATTTGTCTACGAAGGCTTTCTTTGAACCTCAGATCTCAGCCTCCTGAGTACTAGAGAAGACAGGTGTAAGCTACCAGTGCCCAGCACCCAGTAATATTTTAACCTATTTAATATAGGAACTTGAAATAATAAATACTGTAACTACAGTTGCATTCTATAAAAAGTCACTTGTGGACATTGAGTCTGATGCTTAATTTTATATGTCAACTTTACAGGAATGAGGGATTCCCACATAGAGACAGTAGAATAGCATGTCTGGAAAGCTGTTTCCAAAAGAGGTTAGCATTTGAATCAATAAAGAGAATACAAATATCCCTTGACAATATAGATGAGCATCACCCAATCTGTTTTTTTTTTTTGTTGTTTTTTGTTTTTGTCAGTTGTGGGGCCTGGGCGCTGTCCCTCAGCTCTTCAGCTCAAGGTTAGTGCTCTACCACTTGAGCCACAGCGCCACTTCTGGCTTTTTCTGCTTATGTGGTGTTGAGGAATCGAGCCCAGGGCCTCATGCATGCAAGGCAAGCACTCTACCACTGAGCTACCTTCCTAGCTCTCATTGAATCTTTTGATGACCCTGAGCAGAACAGCTGAACTCTCAGCCAGCATCACTGTGATTCACAGCTGAACGAAGCTTGTCTAATAAAACTATTTCTCCATAGAGCACACTTGGCTTTCTTGGGATTTGGTCACTATGTAGCAGTTCAGCATTGTGCTTAGAGGCTTCTTTAAAGCACAAAAGTACAAAAATTTGAAATTTGGCATTATATAAAGTATAAGGATACTTTATACAGCACTAGAGAAAAACAAAGTGGCCAAATATGGCCTTGTTCAGTCTCTGCTGGGATTGTGCATGGTGGATGACTAAATATACCATCACTATTCTTCACATATCTATGAATCAGCACTAAGGCACCTTAATACTGATTCTATTCTCACACATAAATCTTCGTGAATAGGTCAACTTGCAAATACAAGGTCTACAAGTAATGTAATTTTTGAACCCTCCGTGGGTGCATTAATTTAATTATATTGATTTCTCTCACCATTTGCATGGTAGTACTGCTATGTTTATACATAACAGATAACCAAATTTTATCTTAGTATATACAGTTTCAATTATTTTTGGACAAGCATAACTAGCTAAATTTCAATCTTTCTCACCCTTGTTTCTACTGTACCACATTCTTTTACTATAAATGAGCAGAATTAAGATCATCTAACTTCTTTTTTATTTTAATTTTATTGTCCAGGTGACGTACAGAGGGGTTACAGTTACATAAGTAAGGTCGTGAGTACATTTCTTGTCTAACTTGTTACCCTCTCCCTATTTTTCCTCCTCCCTCTTTACTTCCTCCCCCCCAAGTTGTACAGATCTTGTGAGTATCACTGTTGCACTGGTTCCCCATTGTCCTTTGTCTCACCATTTTTTGTTCCCCTTCCCTTCTCTAATTCAGATAAACATATATACAATACCCAGGGGACCAAAATCAAATAGAGAGACCACAATCATAGAGGGAAGAAGGTACAAAAGAAACAAGAAATCACATAGTACATTAACAACATTTGTTCATGTATTGAAGTTCACTTCCCTTAGCATCATCTTATGTGGCCATATGTACATAGCTATTGAGCTATTCTGCTCATCTGCTAAGCTTGTCCTAGATGTATACTAATTTTTACAAATAAGGGAAACCATGGGATC